CTTCAATAAAGATTTATTGAATTAAATTATTTCACATACCCTACACATTTGCTGACATCTTTGCCAAGCAGACGTCACAGTCAGGTTTCCGTTTCTCGTTCACGGTGGTAATGAAGGTATAATTCTATATTTCACAAAGCTATGAGAACAGGTCTAGTTTATATCACAATACTTGATGCTTTGAATATATTTGCCCTCATAAAAATCCTCGTTTTCAGCTGCGGTATATTTTTTTCTCTCTGGCCCATTCAGAATCAAAAGTACTTGGCCGGTTTTCACAAGGTAGTTGACCAAATTAGTTTCGTGCTCCGATAAAGCGGTATTATTAGCCCATTCGGTTTTGATTACCCATTGCCTTGACAGTTTTTGGTGGACAGAAGTCGTGAATTTCTCCTCTTCCCGAAGTTCCGAGTTTTCGGCCAGCTCACGTAAAGATCTCGTATTGACTTAAGTCCGTTTACATGTTGTTAGAGTTCTGTCTCTGTTCCAGACAAATGTGCTCCCATTTCGTGTAAAGTTTGCCTCATGTCATGTGTCAACTAGTTACATGCTCTACTAAATTAATTGTTCTCCTCCATTTTGGATAATTATTTCCTCTCTGGAAGAGAGATGCATCATGGGTAATTCAAGAATGATAACTTTACAAGGGAAATAACAATCCTTATTGAAGAGCACTATGCATTTCACTATGACACGGTCACCTTGGTCAGACAAATGACCGGTGTGGAGCTAACTACAACTAACGCACGTAGTGCACGATATCTACACGGTCACCTTGGTCAGACAAATGACCGGTGTGGAGCTAACTACAACTAACGTACGTAGTGCACGAGATCTACACGGTCACCTTCGTCAGACAAATGACCTGTGTGGAGAGTACTACCACTGACGTATGTAGTGTACGAGATCTACACGGTCACCTTCGTCAGACAAATGACCAGTGTGGAGCTAACTACCACTGACGTACGTAGTGTACGAGATCTACACGGTCACCTTCGTCAGACAAATGACCTGTGTGGAGAGTACTAACACTGACGTACATTCGAGATCTACACGGTCACCTTCGTCAAATGACCTGTGTGGAGCTAACTGGCGTACGTAGTGTACGAGATGATAAGGGATCGACTAACTTTTCGGTTGCACTATAATCCTATTTCACAACAATTGAAAAACAAGTTATTTCAACTGATACTAATCTCTCTTGCTGGCCAGGATGTAAGCGCGTGAGGGGTCTTATTGTGACAGGAAACTGGAGTATCCGGAGAAAACCCACGTGGTCGGGCAGGTAACGCCTTACTTTTTCACTTCCGTTCCGGGAATCGAACCCCGCACGGCTAGGTGAAAGGCTAGTGCGTTACCACTTCGCCACCCGACCACCAAACTGACGAACTCATATCCCAGGGTTTTGGGGGATGAAAGTTGATGGAAGTCGTCGGGGACATTTTTTACGGTCGTCATATAGATCTCATTGAGATATGTCCAATATGAAGCTTAACATGGACTGATGTTGATAAGTTTGCCTGTTGCTCCAGTGATGATATACCTTGTTGCCATTAGAATACGTGACATTACTTACCTGAACTGACCAAGATTTGCATGACGAGAGCCTGTGATGAAGCAGAAATCACTCATCCTTCAGGAACAACTGATTTCATCCTCCTTTCAAGAGTCCCAATGAAAATCTTTCATCTGATTATATTTCGCCGTTGTTTTGAAAACATACTATATATTATTATAGGTCTGAAAATATATTGATCTATATATAAATATATCGAAGGGGACACTGGAGATACAAAAATAGCATTGCTACATGTGGATCAGTTTAACAACCAGCTGTTGCCATACAAACAACGGGTTATTCTCTGGAACTCGTTGGGTGGACCAATATCAGTATACTCGCCACTTACATGTTATTGTTTTTGAAGGGTTTTACTACGGTTGGGGACAATATAGAAAAGTTGTCCATTCACTATAAGCTTAATGAAGTATAATGTAACATATCGTCAATTTCATGACCTTCTAGACATCTTTCTTGCTTCATGTTTGAATAAAGTCGTGACATTTTCAGTACTGTACATTCATGGACTTAGAATGTCATTAACATGTCGATCCCCTAGGCTTCACAATTCAGACCTTAACATCAGTGATGATTCCATGGAGAACGACACAACTGCATATTGCATATTACGATCCCCTAGGCATCACAATTCAGACCTTAACATCAGTGATGATTCCTTGGTGGACGACACAACTGCATATTGCATATTACGATCCCCTAGGCATCACAATTCAGACCTTAACATCAGTGATGATTCCTTGGTGGACGACACAACTGCATATTGCATATTACGATCCCCTAGGCATCACAATTCAGACCTTAACATCAGTGATGATTCCTTGGTGGACGACACAACTGCATATTGCATATTACGATCCCCTAGGCATCACAATTCAGACCTTAACATCAGTGATGATTCCTTGGTGGACGACACAACTGCATATTGCATATTACGATCCCCTAGGCATCACAATTCAGACCTTAACATCAGTGATGATTCCTTGGTGGACGACACAACTGCATATTGCATATTACGATCCCCTAGGCTTCACAATTCAGACCTTAACATCAGTGATGATTCCTTGGTGGACGACACACCTGCATATTGTATATTACGATCCCCTAGGCATCACAATTCAGACCTTAACATCAGTGATGATTCCTTGGTGGACGACACAACTGCATATTGCATATTACGATCCCCTAGGCATCACAATTCAGACCTTAACATCAGTGATGATTCCTTGGTGGACGACACAACTGCATATTGCATATTACGATCCCCTAGGCATCACAATTCAGACCTTAACATCAGTGATGATTCCTTGGTGGACGACACAACTGCATATTGCATATTACGATCCCCTAGGCATCACAATTCAGACCTTAACATCAGTGATGATTCCTTGGTGGACGACACAACTGCATATTGCATATTACGATCCCCTAGGCTTCACAATTCAGACCTTAACATCAGTGATGATTCCATGGAGGACGACACAACTGCATATTGCAAGTTTAATTATGATTTGACTCTACTGCATGCCAAGTTCGTTTCGTATTAATATTTTGAGTATCTTTTGTACAGTCTTGTTATGTCATATACAATCTATATGTGTACTAGATTTTACGGAAGAAAACGAAGAACATCTTTAACATTCGTTTAATTTTTTTTATTTTTCATTTGTTCGATGTTTCTCTGGCAAAGTTTTTGGCGTCTGAAAAAAAAAGAACTTCGTCATATTATACAATTAGCATGTTGGAGTATCTACTCGCAAAACTGTACTTTATTATATATATTGAATTGAAGATTTTTTTAACAGTTTGGAAATTTCTTATCACTAAGTACATTTAAAACAGGAATGTAAACAACAACATCCTGCTTAGTACGTGACTGTGCTAAAACAATCCGAACATATCAAAGTTATCACTTTAATCACTAACTTGACGCGCGTGTATGTATCAGTTATACCACGCTGTCGTACGGGTGACATTTGTTCCGCTAATTTCACGATCAAATAAAATGCTTTCATGATCAAAAGAGTGATAAATAACGATTAAAGGAGGGGCCACCTGACGCTCATTCTCCCGGAACACATGGTCTTATTCTACTTTTTCAGGTCTCGCTGTGTACAGCTTTATTTTGCAACAATTTCCTTGACATTGAGGTTATAATTATGTTGACAAGTTCACGTATGTTCGTATTGTTTCTGGGTTATACTTTTACAATGGGTCTTTGTAAATCTTTGTGCGAACTCTACCTATTTTCATCAAAGCTAAGTTTGATTGAAGGTTCAGTTGACATAACTGTGTTTTCTCTGTCGTGTCTGTTTCTCAACAAACGATTTCAGCGTACTTTTGTTTTCGTTCGTCGCCACTGTAAACAAAAATGTAGCCAATTGACAGTTCATAATCATACTAGTAAATCGCAATAAAAGAATGAGCCATAATTATAAAAAGACTATGATTTGAAGATCTCATATTTTGCTGTAAGGATTTCGATCAATCAACTGTAGATCCGTATTGATCTTTTTATTATTATTAAGATGGGTAAATAGTATCATATATATTTGATGCAAACGTATTAGAGATATCGTGTTTTACCCCTTTTTTGTTTGTTTTCATTATTACTTTTTTATTTTAAAAAATAAAGATAAAATATAATGAAAAGGTAAATTAGGTGTTTATTTAACTTTGATTGTGAAATAATTTCTCCAATATGTAATTGCAAAAAGAAAAAAAAAATGAAATTCTTACCTTGATTGTATCATCAACATAACAACAGCAATGCTTAGTACGCTTTTGTGTTTGGTGATCCTCTACTTATCCATTATTAATTGTTACCTCCCTGTCCCCTCGCACACACGATATACATACATACACCATGTACTCCCATATACTACACCACATATCTCATACAGTAGGACACGGATGGACAACACATTACTCAACAGTGACGTCACATTTTACAAACTATACCCCTGTCATTGACTGAGATAACAAAAATGACAATAACATAAATTATAGTTTTATATGTCTTGTTTATCATAAAAATGTTCTGCAACTGCAAGAGATAAACCTGAAACAGACTCAATGTAATTAGTACTGTATTTATTTTGTATTCTTATAAAGCAGCAACCTGTGTGTTGAAAATAAAACAAATACATTTTAAATAAACATTTCATCAGTAACAATTGCTTCAATAAATCGGGTTTATTTCCGCCTTACGTTCCATAACTCCAAAGATATACCAGTATTTCGTATATATACATATTGATAAATCATAATAAATGAGACCGCAAATTTATCAATAACATTGAACTTACTGAACTTAAAACCTTACTTTATCAAAGCGACATTATCAAAAATGATAAACCAAATGAAATATGATAACGCTATTGTCAGATTTTAATCTGTAGATCTCTATTTGGGATTATGGTGTTTAATCCGACAGGGTTACATTATACTTACATGTTAGATTAAGGAGTAGTATTGCTGAGGTTAGGTTTGTCATCTTTGAGTCTGTAAAACTATTCCGGACTCGACAAAAATAACCGACGCCATTATCTTCCGGACGAAGTGGTCCAATAATAATGGTACTCGTCATCACTCCCGTAGATACACCATCCCGGAACCAGTCGACGGAGGCCGGAGCAGGGTACCCTTCAGAGTATATACACGATAACACTCTGTACTCTTCTCCTTCTATCCAATAGTTGGTGGGTAGTAAAATTACGGCTGGCATACTCGGAGGATCTAGAAAATATAGTAATGCTTAGTCAAAAGCTGATGAAAAATGATTTCTATCTAACTTGTTTTAATATGATAATACTTATTATAGTTATAAGATCCGTTAAGGCTATACAACAACTGTTAGAGTACAACTTGACGAAATTAGAAGGTCTGACCATACGAGGACATCGTGCAGACGTATACGCTTTAGAATCCCAACATTATGTTAACAAAGAGCTTGGGTGAATCGGAAGTATTAATATAAAGTTTACTGATTTAATAACACAAGAAATTAATCGGCTACTTTTTCCTTAATTAGCCAGCTTAGTGCATTGTGGAGCGAATAGTCGATAAATTTACAGTGTTGTGGCTGTATAGTTTAAAGAAGCATTCGCTGCACCCTTTCGACGATGACAGGAAGGTTCAGAGCTCAGCGGTATAATCTATTTCAAATTTATTTTGTTTATTGATTTAGTAAGAGCCTAATATTGTAGATATGAAACAATAATTAATAACTTTATATACATAGATTGTTTTGTTTTACCACGATTACTGTATCATGTGTCACAGCACCTCTGTATTGGGACATAGTGGTGTTTTGTTTATGGTTAAAAATAAACACTAATCAGCTAATAGTTTGAAATGACAATGATATTAACACTATCACATTGATGTTATCAGCCAGAATTTATTAGAAACATCTACGAGGCTAATACCGTCTACCCTTTACCCACTACAATTCCTATACCCCATACCCTTCCTATACCCACTACCCTTCCTATACCCCCTACCCTTCCTATACCCCATACCCTTCCTATACCCCCTACCCTTCCTATATCCCCTACACTTCCTATATCCCCTACCATACCTATACCCATACACTTCCTATACCCCCTACCCTTCCTATACCCCCTACCCTTCCTATACCCACCACCCTTCCTATATCCCCTACACTTCCTATATCCCCTACCATACCTATACCCATACACTTCCTATACCCCCTACCCTTCCTATACCCCCTACCCTTCCTATATCCCCTACCATACCTATACCCATACACTTCCTATACCCCCTACCCTTCCTATTCCCCATACACTTCCTATACCCCATACACTTCCTATACCCCATACACTTCCTATAACCCGTACCTTTCCTATACTTAATATACCCCCTACCCTTCCTATACCCCCTACACTTCCTATACCCCAATACACTTCCTATACCCCATTACCTTCCTATACCCCCTACCTTACCTATACACCCTACAGTTAATATACCCCCTACCCTTCCTATACCCCCTACACTTCCTGTACCCCAATACACTACCTATAACCCGTACCCTTCCTATACTTAATATACCCCCTACCCTTCCTATACCCCCCTACACTTCCTATACCCACTACACATCCTATACCCCCTACCCTTCTTATTCCCTCTACACTTCCTATACCCCATACTCTTCCTATACCCAATACCCTACCTATACCCGCTACAATTCCTATACCCACTACCCTTCCTATTCCCCCTACACTTACTATACCCCGTACACTTCCTATAACTCCTACCCTTCCTATACCCACTACCCTTCCTATTCCCCCTACACTTACTATATCCCCTACACTTCTTACACCCCCTACACTTCCTATAACCACTGCTCTTAATATACCCCATACCTTTCCTATACCTCTACCCTTCCTATACCTCTACCCTTCCTTTACCCCGTACCCTTCCTATATCCTGTACCCTTCCTGTATACCGTACCCTTTCTATACCCCATGCCCTTCCTATACCCCCTACCTTCCCTATAATCCCTACATTTCCTATACCTCCTACCCTTCCTATACCCCCTACACTTCTTATACCTCATACCCTTCTTATTCCCCCTACACTTCCTATACCCCATACTCTTCCTATATCCCATACCCTACCTATACCACATACCCTTCCTATACCCCCTACCTTACCTATACCACCTACACTTCCTATACCCCTACCCTTCCTATACCCGATACCCTTTCTATACTTCTACACTTCCTATACCAACTACCTTTCCTATACCCGGTACCCTTCCTGTATCCCGTACCCTTCCTAAATCCCCTACCCTTCCTATACCTCCTACACTTCCTATACCCCCTACCCTTCCTATACCCGATACCCTTTCTATACCTCTACACTTCCTATACCAACTACACTTCCTATACACACTACCCTTGCTATACCCCGTACACTTCCTATAACTCCTAACCTTCCTTAACCCCCTATCCTTCCTATACCCCTACACTTACTATATCCCCTACACTTCTTACACCCCCTACACTTCCTATAACCACTACCCTTAATATACCCCATACCTTTCCTATACCTCGTACCCTTCCTATACCCTGTAACAATCCTGTATACCGTACCTTTTCAATACCCCATGCCCTTCCTATACCCCCTACCTTCCCTATAATCCCTACATTTCCTATACCTCCTACCCTTCCTATACCCACTACACTTCCTATACCCCTTACACTTCCTATACCTCATACCCTTCCTATACCCCCTAGACTTCCTATACCCTATACCCTTCCCTATACCCCCTACACTTCCTAAACCCCCTACCCTTTCTATACCCCCTACTTTACCTTTGCCCCCTTCACTTCCTATACCAACTACCCTTCCTATACCAACTACACTTCCTATATCCCCTGCCCTCCCTATACCCCTTACCCTTCCTATATACCGTACCCTTCGTGTATCCCCTACCCTTCCTATACCCCCTACACTTTCTATACTCCTTAACCTTCCTATACCCCCTACCTTCCCTATACCCCCTACACTTCTTATATCCCATACCCTTCCTATAACCCAAACACTTCCTATACCTCATAAAATTCATATACCCCCTACCCTTCTTACACCCCCTACACTTCCTATACCCCCTACACTTCCTATACACCATACCCTTCCTATACGTCCTACATTTCCTATACCCCCTACATTTCCTATAGCCCAAACTCTTCCTATACTCCCTACATTTCCTATACCCCCTATCCTTCCTATTCCCCTACACTTCCTATATCCCCTACACTTCTTACACCCCCTACACTTCCTATACCCCAAACTCTTCCTATACCTCCTACCCTTTTTACTTCCCTTTCACTTCCTATACCCCCTACCCTTCCTATACCCCCTACACTTCTTATAACCGCTACCCTTCCTATACCCCCTATCCTTCCTATTCCCCTACACTTCCTATATCCCCTACACTTCTTACACCCCCTACACATCCTATAACCAATGCCCTTAATATACCCCATACACTTCCTATACCCCGTGCCCTTCCTATACCCCCTACCCTTCTTACACCCTTTACACTTCCTATACCCCAATACACTTCCTATACCCCAATACACTTCCTATACCCCCTACCCTTCCTATACCCCCTACACTTCCTATACCCACTACATTTCCTATACACCATAACCTTCCTATACCCAATACTTTTACTATACCCCATATTCTCCCTATACCCATACCCCTCTTATACCCCCTACTCTTCCTATACCCCATACACTTCCTATACCCCTACATTAGTAGAGGTTAAAGGACATTGAATAGATGGTAAAGGGTAGGGGGTAGAGTTAGGAGTAGACGGTAAACAGTCGGTGGAAGCGGGAAATGGATAGCCGGGCGGTGTTTAGAGGGTAGGGGGTATAGGAAATGTAGGGGATATAGAAATTGTAGTGGGTATAGGAAGGGCACGGGGTATAGGAAGTGTAGGGGGTATAGGAAGTGTAGGAGGGTACCGGTATAGGTAGGATATGGGGTATTGGAAGTGTAGGGGGTATAGGAAGTGTAGGGGGTATAGGAAGTGTAGTGGGGTATAGGAAGTGTAGGGGGTATAGGAAGTGTAAAGGGTGTAAGAAGGGTAGGGGGTATAGGAAGTGTAGTGGGGTATAGGAAGGGTACGGGGTATAGGAAGTGTATGGGGTATATTAAGGGCAGTGGTTATAGGAAGTGTAGGGGTGTAAAAAGTGTAGGGGATATAGGAAGTGTAGGGGAATAGGAAGGATAGGGGATATAGGATATATTCCTATACCCCGTACCCTTCCTATACCCCCTACACTTCCTATACCCCCTACATTTCCTATACCCCCTACCCTCTAAGAATCGCCCGGCTATCCATTTTCCGCTCCCACTGTTTACCGTCTACTCCTAACTCTACCCCCTACCCTTTACCATCTACCCAATGTCCTTTAACCTCTAGTAATGTAGGGGTATAGGAAGTGTATGGGGTATAGGAAGAGTAGGGGGTATAGGAAATGTATGTGGTATAGGAAGGGTATGGGGTATAGGAAGTGTAGGGGGTATAGGAAATGTAGGGGGTAACTATTTCTCCCTACAAACTTCCCTCTAATCCTTACCGTATACCTACTTCTCCCTACAAACTACCCTCTAATCCCTACCGTGTACCCTCTTCTCCCTACAAACTACCCTCTTATCCCTACCGTGTACCCTCTTCTCCCTACAAACTACCCTCTAATTCCTACCGTGTACCCTCTTCTCCCTACAAACTACCCTCTTATCCCTACCGTGTACCCTCTTCTCCCTACAAACTCTAATTCCTACCGTGTACCCTCTTCTCCCTACAAACTACCCTCTAATCCCTACCGTGTACCCTCTTCTCCCTACCTACCCTCAAACGTGTACCCTCTTCTCCCTACAGTACTACCCTCTTACAATCCCTACCGTGTACCCTCTTCTCCATACAAACTACCCTCTTATCCCTACCGTGTACCCTCTTCTCCCTACAAACTCTAATCCCTACCGTGTACCCTCTTCTCCCTACAAACTACCCTCTAATCCCTACCGTGTACCCTCTTCTCCCTACAAACTACCCTCTTATCCCTACCGTGTACCCTCTTCTCCCTACAAACTACCCTCTAATCCCTACCGTGTACCCTCTTCTCCCTACAAACTACCCTCTACTTCCTACCGTGTACCCTCTTCTCCCTACATACTACCCTCTAATCCCTACC